TCTTTTTAAACTTGTGAAGGAAACCAAAAGCTAAGCAGATTATTGACATATACATTACACTTTTATTTAAAAAAGAATTCTTTTTTTTTTTTTTTACATCTGACAATCAAAAATCCGAGATTACTAATGCAGAAAATAATGTTAATTAAAAAGTTAAATTTAGTCATCTTTTTCTTTTTTTGACTTTGTTTTTTTTTTTACAAGTTTTCTTTGGTTATTTTTACTTTTTAAAGAGTAGAATTCTTACATGTGGCAATAATAAATTGTGTAGATAAAAATCCTTGATTACACAATGCAGTAAAACTAAACTGGCCCAGCCAAAACAGGTGGTTTTGTAGAAATCCGTCTACTTGTTTTTTTGTTGAATGTTAAAGCTTGGAGTGACAGGATTTGATACAATAACAAAATATCGTTACATGGTTGCTAGTAATTTGTTCATCTAGAATAATTACACGATTTTCATTGAAGGAATAAAATTCAGTAGAAAAGACAATGTAGTTTCAACAAATAAACATTAATTTAATATAAGGACACGAATACAAACAGTTGATGATAGATTGGAAAGTAATGTCTTTTTGTTTGGGTTAATAAAGATCTGAAATAAAATATAAACTGTCTTTGTGTATGTATGTGAGAAACAATAAAATGCTGTTATATGTGTGTTTGTATGAAAAAGTCAACATGTGTATGCATGATTCATAGTAAAGCAGATACAAGAGATAGTTAGAAATTGTTTCTTATTGTTGGCGGTGTTGCCATAGTCTGAAGTTTGTCAACACTGTCGCTTTTAGCATGAGGTTCTGAAGATCATAAGTGAGAGTTGCATGGAGTTTGGTGACAGTTGTGTGTATCCTGTTTGGGAACAGATTTCATATGTTTTTATACACCTTTTCGTAACAAAATCGGCTGCAGAATTAAATTATTTATTTATTCCTAATTGGCCCCAAAAAGGCACGTGGTATGTCTTCTACTACGTCTGCACGATATTTGGTCGGTATCTACCTAAAAATAATGATGTCTAATACAAGAAACATTCTGATTTGTATTCAATGATTTTATTGGTGTGTTTTAAGATGTGTTTTCTTGAGTGTGATTGGTTTATAAATATTGTATTTGATATTTCAGTGGACACGACAGTTTTAAAAAAATACTCTATTCTCAGGCAATGTTTCCCTCGCGGAAGTGTGCTAGGGGTCATTACTTAATGACTAAAGACATTCTCAAAAAGTGTAAGTGCTGAAGGAGATGGAGTGCTTTCTGTCCCTACTCCATGTACGCCTTGTTCCCACTTTAAACACAATTTTATGTCACATTCCGTTCAAGTGGGTGTGCGGATAAAAAAAAACCCAAAAAAAACAAACGAAAAGAGTTAAAAAAAAAACTTGAATTCAGATGACCTGGGTTTGTATGGGAATAAAAATTTGCTGTCGTACTTAAATTCTGTAAAAATTTATTATTATCATTTTCTTGTAAAAAATCAATTAGTCCTCCATATTTTTACACTCTTTCTTTGCTTTTTTTAGTTTATTTGATGAAAAAAAGTTATTGCCACAGAAAAAAAAATCTTCAATTTTTTTTTTGTTTTTACAATTATTATCAATATGTACAAAAACTTTTAGTTTTCATTTTCACACGGTAACCTTTTTTAATCCACCCTGTCGCCAAAGTTAAAGTCCCGGATATAAGAGAGTTGTCGGGACCGGAGAAGAAGTCTCTTATATCCCAGTTTGGTCTATTTTGTTTAGGTAACACAGGCTCTAATTTGGGACCAGAGAAAATCTCTCTTATATCCGGGTTTCTTTTATATCCGGGTCTCTTATATCTGGGTTACACTGTAAAAAAAAATCGATCTGAAAAATATAAAAGCAGTAAAAAAAAAAAAAAAAAACATACAATTACTCCTCCGACTCGTCTTTTAAAAGAGAAACATTTTTTCTTTTAAAATATTGTCACATTCATCAGCGCTTTAAATTTTTAAATTTTAAATTTATTTTTATGAAGTCAACGCATTTTTTCATAATAATTTTATTTTTATTCATTTACATTACACTATTACAGTTCATTTTTTACAAGACAGTGATTAATTTTCTTACCGATTTTCATGTTCTTGTCGAACTTGTGCAAATTTGCTAGTCCCAATGTGAATTGTCAAATAAAAATCACTTAAAAATTAAGATAAAAATAATAAATAAAGGAAATTTCCAATTTATTATTATTTATTTATTTTTATTTCTCGTTGTTCCACGATCCTCATCTACCCGGATTTATTCAAAACTACCCTCATTAATAAATAAATAAATAAACAAAAAAGTAGCAAATTGCAATTGTTCAATTAAACTTGGATGCCTCATCGTAGTTTTATTTTTTTACTTGACTTGTTGATCATTAATATTAATTAAATGTGTTATAACAGGGGTATATTTATAGAAGTCAGTGTCTACAAGCATTTTTAGAGGGCGTTTCAGAGTCTGATCAGCTCTGAAGGGGTCGATTTGGTGAGGTCAGTATGATGTTTGAAAGACCCAAAACTGCCCAATGATCCATTTCCAGAACATCACTGACGACGCCCTCTAGCGCTAAAAGAGCGTATATCCAAAGCATTGTACATAAAGTAAAAATGTGGCACAAAAAAGGGAAATGGGGAAAAGGATGGTCTTTTTCTGTCTTACCTTAAAAACTTAGCTAGCCACAAACACTGACCTAAACTATATACAACAATTCCTTTCATCAAAACAAGGCATTCTTATTTCTTACCTCATCCACCATAATGCCTCAGAATCTCTATGATGTCCTAACTAATCTCCATATGTACAATTCATTGTCTGTGGAGATCATTAGTAATGATTTTGAGATTCTCACTAGGTGTTCCATATTTGTAGTCCTGTGCCAAACTCAATTTTCCACTCAGTCAATAAATAAATTAACTTCAAACAAAAGCGCCTTGTTTTGGTGTCAGTTTTCAAAGCAAACAAGCTGGCCTTACTAAGAAGCCGTCATTGCTACTGAGTTTATGAGTTAAGCCTTAAAGGAAGAAAGTATGCTCCATAAACTTGAGTCAAACAAAACGAAACTTTGTAAACAATAACTTCAAACATTTGTTTGGTCGTGGGTTCGATTTTCACTAGCGGTCATTTATTTTATTTTATTTTTTTTTTACACAGTTGGATAACATTTCACTGCCTCTATGGATGTGTATATGTATTGATTTAAGAGATCAGATTTTTTTCGTTACAACTCTTTCTGTGCTTTTTATTATTATTTAAAAACAAATTAAGAATCTGCCTCGTGACTGGTTTTGTTGTTGCGTATTATTTCGCACCAACTAGTGGGTCGGTATTCGAACACATATAAAAACTACGATTTCGAATGCTGACACTCAAAACAAGACAGCCCTCCCCGCTTGGAAGGTTGAAGCAATAATACGATCTTAATATTCCTCTCCTTTAGATATTCCGTAATGTACCTGACGAATCGAAGAACGAAGCTAGTCTTGTGTAATAATGATGCTACCGGTAAAGATTTTGGTCTCTCCAATGTTCGGTAAGCACCGGTAGAAGAGTGTCCGCGAGTAAAGGGTAGGGATGAAAAGAATCTAGTTTTATTGATGTCTGGATGAATAGAGTCCAGTCGACGATGAAGAACACAAGAAAAATGGTTAACTATCGAAGAAAGAAAAGAATCCGGCAAATCTGGAACAAGAACGGGGAGGAGGAGGACGATAAATAAGAAATCTACAGAAGATACGTACACACAACAACATTAATGCACTCACACGTTTTACCCAGTTGTGAAAAAGACAGAAAATTAGACAATTTGTGATTGCCGAGGGTATTAAACAGCCGGCCTTAAAATATAAAAAAAAAAAAAAAAAATCAGTCACTTGTAACTCACAAGTAAGTTGTTGAAAAGAAGACCGTCGACCAGGTTTACGAAACTCGTTACCCGACAAAGTAAATATGAAGGTAAACCGTAAATAATACTGATTTTAAAAAAAGAAAAAAAAAAGAAAACATTCAAATGTTACTTTTAGCGGTCTGTCTATTTCTAAAATCTACGATACTTCAGTTAATTAATTGTACAAGTCAAACAATGCATTTACAAAGGATTTTTGTTGGATCGTATTGGTTTACTTTACAAACTTAAGAATATGTATGTAAAATTTGTAAATTTAAATTGTAAATATACGAGAAAGTGTTGAGTAAAAATGCTAAGTCCTGATTCAGAAGAAAAAATATAAAAAAAAGTAATGTGCGACTATGTGAGTGCTATGTATTTTTTTTTTTTTGTAACTGTAAAATTTACAGTGTAAGGTCATACAGTACACGCGAATAATAATAACGTAATTTAAATCGTATGTTAAAACAACAAAAAAGTAAAAAACGAAATGTTATTTTGTTAAAAAAGTAAGAGACAGGTCCTTTAGTCTTCTTTGTTGAAAAGGTAGTTGTAAGTAATAATTGGTTGCCTGAAGCAATAATCCTAAAAGAAAAATAGACTACACCTCTAACCTACACTTATCGTCCACTTTAAAATATCGGTGATAAAGGACAAAAAAAAAAAAAAAAAAAAAAAAACATCCTCAAATAACTTGAATAATTATTTTTTGCGGTGATGTGAACTTAAAGAAAATTCATTTTTATTTTAATCGCAACGGGGAAAAAATTAATTCGCTAAAAAAAACTCAAGTTTTAAAGAAAAAAATGGTGCATTTTTTCCCCAAAAAACTGAACTGCTGGCAACAGGGGAAAAGACAGTCTTATTTATTTATTTATGACTGTGGTACGCACCTTTGCACGGACAGACTTTTTATATACACACACACACAAAAAACACAGTTAATTCATTGATTCCACTTAATAATGAGCGTGTTGCATAGCATAGTACAGTACAGCGTATAACATCCTCAAGGTAGGAGGATTGACATGGCTGCTAGCAATGTGACTAAGAAAGGCCTGGTTACCTTTGCTGTCGGTATTATCTTTGGCTTTTGTTTTACCTATATGCTGGCATTTTCTGCTCAGTGGAGGACTCGAACCTTTTACCCCGAGGACAGGATTTTTTACCAAAATTATATTCCTGAATCACCGTATGACCATGCAGCTATTGACAATGTTAAAGGACCACATGAACCTTCCAAATGGACAGATCAAAACCATCATAGTCACGAAGGTAAGAAAGAAAGAAAATTTGAAAGTACTACTAACTAGTGTTTTTTTTTTTTTTTTTTTCAGATTTCATAATTAAATTTTAGCAACATAAAATTTTTTAAAAAATCATGAAAGTTAAAAATTGCATTTTTAAAACTTTTAAATTAAGTTTTAAATTTTAATTAAATAATATTCGAAAGTGATTACTTTTTTTCTGTGATGAGAATTGGGACTAAAATTTAAAAAAAAATAAAAAACAAACACTTTTCTTTAATAATTTTTTAACATGTTACAAATTACATTTACTACACTGTCATCAGCCTTTTCTTTCTGTGTTATACTCCACCCACCAGAAGAAAAAAGTATTTTTGATTTTTATGATTTAAGAATTTTCCCGTGTTTTCGAAAGTTGTAAATAAGTTTTTTTTTCAATTTTCAAAAGAGGTGCGTGGAAATGAGATAGTTGGCCACATTTGGCCATTTAAAAAAAAATCTTTGGATGATTAAGGAAAGGAAATGTAACCAACTGTTGTTCTCTCAAGTTGAGAAATCTTTTTTCTTTTTGTGCAATTAGAAACACTTATGATTATTATTATTTTTTATTTTTATTTTTGATGAAGTTTAATACAATAGAAACAAACTGTTGCATTTTTTTTATCATATGTATTGTAACAACAATACGCACCACGATTCTATAGCTTCTTTTTTATTTCTCTTTCTTTAGTTTTATGCTTAAGGTTAATTTTCTAATTTGTCGCTCAATTTTTAAAAAAAACCTTCCTTAAAAGTCTAAAAAGGAACATTTATGAAAATAATTCTGAAAGAAACCCTTTTTTTTTTTTTTTTTTTTTTTGTTTGAAATAGTCCGAAAAATAAAATGGGGGGGGGAATTGTTTATTGATTAAAAAAACTAAACGCCAAGGAACAATTTAATAAAGATTACTACTAAAATTTATGATAAAGTTATAAATAAATCACTTTTTCATTATTTTAAACTAAACAAACTGCATTGTCGAAAATCTCCGCTATATGCTTTCCAGCCATACACAACATTTGTCGCGTGTAATTATTAGCAAACTTTCAAATTAAACAGTACTCAAAAAGTAAAACAAACCGTAAGTCGTCAATTTAGTGAAAATTAAAAAATATATAATGTACAACTACAAGACATTTTTATAAAACGTTGGACAAAGAATTGTGAGACTGAAAGGCAAAGAAGTTGAATGCAAAATGAATAGAACTTTGTTTTTGTTTTAATCTCTAAGTTTTAACGAACCTAACGCGCTTTTGTCAAACACAAGATTGATAAACCTTTCAAACAGCTTTCGCTACAACACTAAAAATTAAAAATTGATTTATTTAAATTCTAAAAACTACGATTGTATTTTTAAGAGTACCAAAGCTGGTGTTATTTAAAAGATCACAAAATGAACTTATGATCAGAACAACTTCTGGTGTAACTAACATTCCCTCTCCTTCCGTTCCTAAATAGCAGTTATCGGCGCGGAAAGTGAGGTCGTCGACCCAAGTTCAAATACCGGTCCGGTTAATTTTCAATACAACTACCCTCCAGCTCTTTTTCCTTCGCCCATCTAACAGGGTAAATGACAAAGCAGCAGACTCTGTTCACTGGTCTTTGTTAGCAAAAAGTTTAAAAAAGGACAACGCTGAATGTAAAACCCAGTACGGACAGCAATTATACCCCGTAAAATACTATTGAAACTAAAACAGTCACACCTGACGTGGTCTGGCTGTGTAGTCCATTCCCCAACAGGTGTGGAAATTCAGCCATTTATTTTAAATTTAAATACCTGGGCAAAAACTGATTTTTGATTGAAAACTATCGCTAACTTTCCCGTTTATGAGAAGTGTCCGTGTCTTTAAATTCATTTAATCTCCTTCAATGAATCAAATTTCGGGGCGTATTTTTATTTGAACAGCTTCTTAAAAAAATAAATAACGCTTGTCAAAAGATCGTTAATAAAACTTTTAGTATTTCTAAGACTGATTTTACGATGTTTACTTTTACCTCGTATTTTTGCCCATTCTTAAAGGTTTATTTTAATTTAGTTTGCCAAAGATCAACTTCTGACTTGCTGTCTGGTGTCGTTTCTTCTATTTTTTAAAAATCCATCTTCCTAGTCCTAACCATTGTTTTTTTTTTATTTTTTGGCCTTTGGGCCATGTACAAAATTTGAACTTCCAATGAATACAAACTTGGGTAGTTACAAATATGCTTTTCTGAAACTTTATTTAAGGAACATTAGCTGATCGAGTTTAATTAATCTAATTTGAAAAAATTATTACCTATTTTAAGTTTGAAATATCACAGAAATACATTTTTTAACATGGTGGTAGCTGTTTATAAGGTGTTGACAGCTTGAATGAAAGATGAAAGTTTATCTAATGTTTTTCTATGGTGGACATATCTGTAAAAAATAACTGAGGAATATAACATAAGTGCTGTTAACAGAAGTGGGGAAATTGATTTGATGTAGCAGTTCGAGATGCAAGGGTTGGAGATTCATTGGCTGTGAGTTTGACTGAAAGTGTAACTCCAGAAGAAAAAGAAAGGGTGAATTCAACAAATCAATTTCTGTCAGCCAAAAATACAACAACCCTATATGAACTCTTAAATCACAAAAGGACTAAGACTATAGTCACCCACTTTAACCACCGTAACCAAATGGATTCAAGAATAACATACTCAGTGGATGCAGCTTTACATCAAATAGTAGAAAAACAACCTATACCTATCAGACTCTTTTCCAAAAAATTTTTACAAGCACAGACAAAATATTCCATGTTCAATTGGAAGCTTCTCGTGGCTTATCTCTCCATATTGCATTTTCACCACCTCATAGAGGGTCGCAGTGTACTGCTGTTTACAGATCATAAGCCGTTGTGCTGGGCATATCATAGGCAGACCCCAGTGAAATCCGATTGACGGCAACATCATCTTTCAGTGTTATCTGTATATGTATCGGATATATATATATATATATATATATATATATATATATATATCAGAGGTGAACAGAATATGGTTGTGGATTGTCTCTCTAGACTCGCACTCTCAGTTCAGATAGATGCTTGTGACTTGTCAGAGATAGCACAAGCATAGAAACAAGATGGTGAAATCAAGTCATATAAAAATCTAAAGGAATATATTATTTCCTCTAAAATCAGATCCATACTATGTGATATTTCCACTATACATCCTAGGCCATCTGTTCTTACGGGTACGCGTAAAACAATATTTATTAGCTTACATTGCTTAGCACACTCTGAAATAAGTACTTCTTTGAAATTATTAAAAGCAAAATATTTTTGGCCTGAAATGGACAAATCCATTAAGACATTCTGCATAGAATGCATTGTCTGTCACCAATCCAAGATTCACAGATATGTGCAGAATTTTGAATTACCTTCAGCAAGATTCCAAACTGTAAATATTGACATTGTCAGGCCGTTACCGCCAACACGAAGGGAATCTGAACAATATATCAGCCCTTATCAATATTTACTTACTTGTATAGATTGTGCAACACATTGGATTGAGTTCCAACCTATGATAGAGATTACTACAAAAGTAGCCCAAGCTTTCGTTGATGCATGGATATTGGGATTTGGTGTACCACTATCCTTTGTCACTGATCATGGTTGCCAGTTTGAATTATTCCAAGAATTAGCAAAAGTAGTAGGATTCTATAGATTAAGAACAAAAGCATATCATCAACAAAGTAATGGATTGATAGAAAGAGTGCATCTCCCATTAAAAAATAGCAATAATAACTCAAAAGGAATCTTTGCTAACTGCCATACCCATTGTATTTTTAGGAATTCATAGTACTCCAAATTAATCTAATTTTGCCCGATTCACAGCAGTTACTGGAGTACCAATACTAATCCCTTACCAATTAGTTGACAATGCAAATATTAAAGATATTGCCCCTGTACAGGAAGAGTTTATAAAAGATTTATGTAACTCTATGTTGCAATTAGACATGTTAAATGACTACAGAAAACATATTACACCAAACACTTTCATACCAAATTCTTTACATACTTGTGATAAAGTATGGCTTTTGAGCATATCAAGTACAAAAACCTTTGGCAGCACCTTATACAGGCCCTTACAAAGTTTTACAACATAATGCCGAAGCATTACTTAATAGATTTAAATAATGACGTAAATACACAAGTATCAATCGACAGACTAAAACCATATATAGAACTGTCTGTATAAGAACATAAAAATAGTGCCAAATTGCAGGCAAAATCAAATAAATACACTGACAGTGAGAAAAATGTTACTACCAGTACATCTGATGAAAATATGAGCAGTAGTAATACCAAATCATACACATTTAAAGTAGGTAGATGTTACATGGAAAAAAAAAACAGAATAAGTACTATTATCTTAAGTAAAAAAAAAAAAAAAAGTGGGGAAGTTTACCAATTATAGTAATAGGACAGATTATACCAAAATCTGAAGGGGGACTGTGTAGTAGGATTAGGTAGTAATAACGCCATATGGAAATATACATTTTCCTTTTCACTATGAGAGTGACAAAGAAAACTCTCACTCTTTTCTCTTATACACATACTTCCTTTCCTTCCTTCTATTGTTCCTATTCTTGGTAACTGACAGAACCCAGACATAGCTTATGTGGGTCAGTGAATGTCATAAACAAATCAACCAATGACAACACATCCCACCAAAAATCAAACAGAAAACAGGGATGTGTCAGGCCCAATAAAAAGAAGGAAAAAAATCACATGCACAACAGAAGTGGGGAAATTGATTTAATGTAGCAGTTTGAGATGCAAGGGTTGGAGATTCATTGGCTGTGAGTTTGACTGAAAGTGTAACTCCAGAAGAAAAAGAAAAAAAGAAAGGGTGAATTCAGCAAATTAATTTCTGTCAGCCAAAAATGCAACAACCCTATATGAACTCTTAAATCACAAAAGGACTAAGACTATAGTCACCCACTTTAACCACTGTAACCAAATGGATTC